CCACTCTCCCACTTTTAAATGTGGTGATACTAACAACTGCTCAAGTGGAATAGCATTTTACTTGTTATCAGAGATCCTGCCAGTCACTGTCATATTTTTATTTATAACATTATTTGATGTCAATCTCACTTCTGGTGCACTGTACTCCTTCATCTTCTATGCTCAAATACTCAACAATCAATTTAATAATGTCTATCCAGTCATTGTGAGGGAGAACAAAGGTATTCTACTCTACACTTTCGAGTTTTTAAAAATGGTTTATGGAACTTTTGATTTTGACGTATTCGAAAATGACAACATATCATTCTGTGTAATGCCAAAGGCAACAGTTTTGGACATGCTAATACTAAAATATGTATCTACTTTCTATGCCTTTTTTCTAATCATTGCCACCATTGTCGTTTTGAAGCTAAACTCGTTCTATGCCTGCATTAAATTCTGTCACAAATGTGGTAAGCGTAATATCCGTGGCTCAGTCATCAATGGTCTGACTGCATTTCTTGTTCTCTCTTATTACAGATGCCTCATAATAACAATGAAGATACTCTTTCCATCATACATATCCATAGCTCATCAGAAAATATATGTCCCTTTTTATAATGGGAACCTCAGCTTCATGAAAGATTCTCATTTGATGTATGCCATACCAGCCCTGCTCTGTTTTGTATGCATAATACTACCTCCTCCTCTTTTACTGATATTTGAGCCGTTGCTCATTCAGTTCAGTGGAAGGATCAACTTGAGGAGGAATAGGCTAACATACACTCTTCATATACTGAGGATGAAAATGAAACCATTCCTGGACTCATTTCAAGGTTGCTTCAGAGACAACTGTCGCTCGTTTGCTGGACTGTTCTTTCTGTATCGTATACTCATAGTTCCTGGTGAGTATCTGAATGGTCTAGCGTGGAATAACAGCTATGAAGGTGCTATCTTGTTCCTGGTCCTCCTGCTACACTCAATGTGTCATCCTTTTCAAAACTGGCACCACAACCAGTTGGACATATTTCTCTTGGTTGATCTCCTTATGATTAATTTTCTAATGGGAATAGAGTATTTGATATTTATCCACAAGCCTTCTGAAGCAAATTTCAGGGATGATAAAATTACAGAAAAGTTTATTGGTGTGCTGATACTTGTGCTTATACTGATACCACTAGGATATTTGCTGGTGTATGCTTATAAAAAGGTTTTCCCTAAAACAAATCATGCTGTCTCCAATAATAACGAGTGCAGTGATAGTCTCCCAGCACGACTATTGGACAGTCAAGTTGACAATTATGGATCATTTAATTAATTGCTGATTAAATTAGTTTTGATATTAATTGCAATCATAGGTTTTGTTCATAGAAATTTATTGCTGATAAGTAAATTTTTTCATTAAGTATTCAGAATATATTTTGCTAAGGCTTGCCTTAATGCCTTTCAGTATGTGAATTGAATGCTAGTACTTGCTTAAGATCTAGTCCCTCTACATGATGATATCCTTTTGACAACCGTTAATTTTTCATAGGTCTATAGGCATTTAGCAAATATTGACAATCAGTAGACATTGGTTTACAGTTAGACAATTAGAAAAACATAAACAATTAGTAAATATAGACAACCTGGTTCTTTCATATTCAATAACTGATTATAAAAACCATTTCATGTAATGCATCTTCACCTGCAACTTGAACTTGGTGAAGATGATCAAAATTTTGTTGCTATATAATCTCTTTGTTTGCTACAGTACATCTACTGCTCGGCAAATCAACATCAATGTTCAAAATGGGACTGATTCTCCACACTGTCTTAATGG